GACAAGATCAAACTACAAGTTGTAGAAGATACAACCTGCACTCCTGATTTTACAAACGCTCCTTTAGTTCATGATTGTTTCAGTGGTGCATGGAAAGGACCAGATCTGCTCTGTCTCACTGCACTGGAGTCTGTAGAGGTTTTCATTGTCCCACTACAGCATCAGGCTGATCTGTGATGGTCTATCCACAACCCCAGAGACTCCAGCAGTGAACATGTGATAGAGTCATGTGGCCTGTGAGGAAAATCTGTGAAAAAATGCTGATTTGCTCAATTGTGACATTCTTTAAACATAAACAGGTTTATTAAAATCTAACAGCTCAACATGTAAAAGAATCACTCTCCATTCCTCGTCTTATTGTGCCATGTAGGGGGCAAAAAACACAATAGCATAAAATGAAGCAGCCGCAGGCTGAGTTCATGTGTTTATATTCTCTTTTGACATTTGTATACGGACAGTTAAATAATCAGTTGTTTAATGATCGAATGATACTGAAAATATAAATACGTTGAGGTGGATGAGACTGTTTTAAATTTGATTAAACGACAATTGACACAGTGTAAGGTTTATTTTGTAAGAGAACAGAATGTGCACAGGGACATCAGTGTTGTTGTTCTGGACTCTTTGTCTTTGTCAGTGATTGGCTGAAAACACTTTAAATTCACTGACTGAGAAAATCAGTGGGAGGATCATTATCATATGTATAATTATAAATCTTATTTGTTGCGTGAAATAACATTTCGACATGTTCAAAACAAGTTGTTAACGTGTTAAAAATAGGTGTAAATGTGAACAGTTTGGCTTGTCATAGACCAGTGTGTCGTGCACAGACAGACACCAGGTGCTGCTAAATCACCTGCCCCTTTGCCCTCTGTACAAAAAAATGCCCTTTTGAAAGTTTTTTTTATTATTTTTTTTTCACAGTGTACTGTGGTCCATGTTGACATCATCATCTAGAAATGCTGGATGATTAAAAGTGTGTGATCATAAAGCCCCGATGCTGCTCCCCCTCCCCACACACAAAAACTATGTCAATCATTTGTGCTTCATTTGTGCTGCAAAAAGTTTTGTTTGTGCTGCCTTAGTTTTGGAGATATTAGTATCTACACCAGGACCAGACCAAGACTAGACCAGGACCAGACCAAGACTAGACCAGGACTAGACCAGGACTAGACCAGGACCAGACCAAGACTAGACCAGGACTGGACCAGGACTGGACCAGGACTGGACCATGACTGATCCAGTGTCATTAGTGCAGTATAAATATAAAAACGCCGCAGTCGCCAAGTTGATCTCCTCTGCTGATGGTTTTATGTGATAAAAACACTAAAGTTTCTCTCAGTCTGGTCCACCGTTAAGGGAAAAGACCAGGACCGGACACTTGTATCCGGGGCAACAGACGCGCGTCAAGTATTTTTCTCCCGTTCGTCCACGGCGTCCAAGACACCGGGGCTTCTGAACTCCAATGCAAAGGCGTCCAAATAGAGGCGTCTAGGGCGTTTTTTTTTTACACTATTACACACTATAATAAGGCAGCCGACAGTTCCACATGGTCACAAAGTGTCCTTATTTTTCACTGAGCACCTGCCCCCCGAAATGTCTGTGCACCTCACTGAGCAGGACACAAGTTAGAACACATCTGTGGTCACCTCTGTGTCTCATCACCTCAGGAAGCCTGAATGAACTCTGTGTGACTGTTCTGTTCATCGTTATTATGTTAATGTTACTCCACTGTAGTGTGCGATAGTCTTTCCATTTCTCACTCATCTTAAATGATTCATGCAACTTAACGTAACTTACTTGTAGAACACTAGGGTTGGGCGGTAATACAGTATTACGGTAACAGGCAGTATCAAAAAGTAGCAAAGGGATCAGTTTCATTACCATCATAAAAAAATCTGCAGCACATAAAGACCTAATATAATATTATAATTTATTGATACCTAAATGTGTTTGCTCAGCACAAATGAATGTTTGTATTTTCAGTTTAATGTTTCACGATTTAAAACTAATAAGTGTCTAAAATGTTTCTTTTAACTGTGTGGGGAGACGACGTTCGATTAGTTTTGTTTCATTGTCATGTGACGCTCATGAGGGACGACCAAGACAAGACGACAAGTCCAGCCACAAGACAGTTGGTCCTCCCCCAAAAAAGTACTAATACTTCTGCAATTTGGCAGCATTTTGGCTTCAGGCCACATTTGTTTATGTTTTACAGAAACAAAACTTAAAACCACATGACTCATTTGAATAAACTATAAGAGCTGATAAAAACAGCTCTTTCCTTGTGGCACTGATGCGGTTCAGCTTCTGTCGGACTAAAGGACACGACTCAGTGGAATATGAGTGTTCTTTCTGTGACAGAAAATGTGCTGCAGATGTTGAATCTGTTCTGTGTGTGTCGTGTTGAAGATGGTTCATGTGTAACTTTTTAGAGATTATAAGTCTGCAGGTCGTACACACAGACCGTACAGCAGTGCGGTTTCGTAGTTTACCAAAGTCATACTAAAACATTTTGGTAATATGGTAAAACCATATAACCCAGTAAAATCCTGAGAAGTTTTAACAGTATCAACATCTGGATATCACCCAATCCTATAGAACACACACTGACACATTCTTACATATGAACCAGTGTGTGTATTTTATGTGTATTTCGTTATTTCACTTGACACTTTCCTTTGTTCTAATGCAGAGCTACAAGATCCACCAACAGAATGGAGTTCACATGTGACCAGTGTGGAAAGGTGTGTCCAAATGCTTCCTGGACTGAAAATACACTACAGAATCCACACAGGAGAAAGACCATACAGCTGTGATCAGTGTGGGAATGAATTTACACAGTCTTCTTCACTCAAAGCACATATGAGAATCCACACACGAGAGAGACCATACAGATGTGATGTTTGTGAAAAGACATTTTCAGTAGTCAAGCAACCTTGTATCACATATGAGAGTCCACACTGGAGAGAGACCATATGAGTGTGACCAGTGTGGGAAGAAATTTAAACAGTCTGGTGCACTCAACAGCACATATGACAATCCACACTGGGGAGAAATCATACAGATGTGAAGTTTGTGAAAAGACATTTTCACGGTTGGGCAACCTTGTATCACATATGAGAGTCCACACTGGAGAGAGACCATACAGATGTGAAGTTTGTGAAAAGACATTTTCAGAGTCGGGCAGCCTTGTATCACATATGAGAGTCCACACTGGAGAGAGACCATATGAGTGTGACCAGTGTGGGAAGAAATTTAAACAGTCTTGTGCACTCACAGCACATATGACAATCCACACAGGGGAGAAATCATACAGATGTGAAGTTTGTGACAAGACATTTTCATGTTTGGGCAGCCTTGTATCACATATGAGAGTCCACACTGGAGAAAAACCATACAGATGTGAAGTTTGTGACAAGACATTTTCATGGTTGGGCAGCCTTGTATCACATATGAGAGTCCACACTGGAGAAAAACCATACAGATGTGAAGTTTGTGACAAGACATTTTCACGGTCAGACAGCCTTGTATCACATATGAGAGTCCACACTGGAGAGAAACCATACAGATGTGAAGTTTGTGACAAGACATTTTCACGGTCAGACAGCCTTGTATCACATATGAGAGTTCACACTGGAGAAAAACCATACAGCTGTGATCAGTGTGGGAAGGAATTTAGACACTCTTCTGCCCTCCATCACCATATGAGAGTCCACACACGAGAGAGACCATACAGATGTGAAGTTTGTGAAAAGACATTTTCAGAGTCAAGCAACCTTGTATCACATATGAGAGTTCACACTGGAGAGAGGCCATACGAGTGTGACCAGTGTGGGAAGAAATTTAAACAGTCTGGTGCACTCAAAGCACATATGACAATCCACACAAGGGAGAAATCATACAGATGTGAAGTTTGTGAAAAGACATTTTCAGTATCAAGCAGCCTTGTATCACATATGAGAGTTCACACTGGAGAGAGACCATACGAGTGTGACCAGTGTGGGAAAGCTTTCACTCAATTATCCCATCTCAATAAACACATGAGAATTCACTTCAGACACAGACTATATGAGTGTGACCAGTGTGAAAAGGCTTTTAGAACATCCCAGGAGCTCTCCACTCACTACAGAACGCACACAGGAGACGAATCAGACGACTGTGAAGAAAAGGGGAAAGTTTTCAGGTCTGCGAGGAACCGTCTGAAACATGTCCAAATGTTCCAGACTGAAGAGAAAAGCTGCAGCTCTGACCAGTGTGGGAACGACTTTGAGACAAGCTGCTCATCTGAAGCTGCACCGTCTTGGACACACTAAAGGAGAAAGAGCTGCTGAGGCCGGATCATGTGAGCCTAAAGTTAGACTCAAAAAGCTGGAGATCAGGCTTCAGAGACTCCAGACTGTGGAGTTGAGTTCTGTGTGGTGTCAAAAAATAAACATAATTTTTAAGCTTGTAATTTTTTTAATTCCTTTTTTTTTACAAGGAGGTTTTAGTTGAAGTTTGTCCTTCTTATTTTTGATTATATACAGTGTTGGGGAGTAACAGATTACATGTACCGGAGTTATGTAATCAGAGTACAAATTATGAGTAACTATATTCAGTTACAGTTACTGTTTCAGTGAGTGGTCATTGGATTACAGTTACTTTGTTGAAATAAATAGATTACACTGTGGTATTTTCCTGTTTTCACATTTTGGGCTATATCCCTTTTTTTTTTTTCCTCCAGTAATTCCACTCATTGCCGGACACTAAACCAGGTCTAAACCAGGGCTAAACTAGGTCCAAACCAGGACTAAAACCAGGTCTAAACTGGGTCCAAACCAGGTCTATAGCAAGACTAAACCAGGATTAAACCAGGTCTAAACCATGTCTCAAAACAGGATTTAACAGGACTAAACCATGCCGTGCGGTCCGTGTCTCCTCGTCTTCTATCAATAATATTTTTAATTTGGTTCAGTAAAGTCTGGGCTTTTTATTTTCTTTTATCAAACAAAATATCTTATGTGAAGATTTCCTTGTCTTTGCTTCTCTTCAGCAAACCAAGTAATCCAAAGTATTCAGATTATGTTACTCACTTTTCACCCAATTTAATGGATTATGTTCCATTACAAGCTACATTTTGGTGTATGTAATCTGTAATCTGTAGGGGAATACATTTTAAAAGTCACCTTCCCAACACTTATATGTTTTTACTTATTGTTTTTAGCTTTTTTTAGTCCCGCTTCACTGCAGTTCCCTAATCAGAGACGTACATGAAGTTGTATTTTGTTTTTTAAATTCTACTTTCTGAGGAGTGACTCTTGTTAGCAACTCATAACAGAGGATTATTCTTTTCATGGAGGCTGTGGTAAAAAAAAAAAAAAAAAGAAATAAAATAAAATAAAGGAAAAGAGCAAATAAAGTCTACCTGTGTTTTCTTCCTTTTATTTTAGACCAGTTGTACATGCTTGTCTTGTCTTATGTCTCACTTACATATGGAGGCGCTTTAGAAATAAAACAAATAAATACACGCTCAGAAACTGTGAGCGTCTTTCACTTTGTTAATCAGAGGTGAGAGAAGGTTTGAAATTGTCTCTGAATTATTGTGGTGGATACCTCTGCCACCACTCTATAGTGTCAGTATTATTTAATTTCACTAATTAATTACATTACACGTAATTTAATTCCTTTATTGAGACTTATATTCTAATTTGAGTGCACACATTTTAGTTATTATAAGTCTAATTTACTTACACTTGTTCCTTTAGTTTTTTTTGAGCGCTGGACGGAGGACCCTGGGAGAGACCATCAGGACTCAGCAAAGGGGGGGAGCACTATTTAGTTTGTTTTACTAAGGTAGTTTGTTTAGTTTGCTTTAAGGTCACTTTGTTATCACTGAATATTTTCTGTATTATAATTATTTGCCTTTTTGTTACTTTGATGAAGTTATTGGTTTAGTTAATTAATTAGTGTAATTCCTCCCTCGTGTGTAGTTTTAGTTGGTCCTCAATTATTTAAACACCCCTGTTCCTTTGTCTGGTTGGGTTAGTTTTGTTCTGTTCAGTTTCTATTATTATTATCTATATATTATATATATCTATATATATATATATATATATATATATATATATATATATATATATATATATATATATATATATATATATATATATATATATATATATATATGTACATTATATATATATATATATATAGTTTGAGGGATTGATGCACTTCCACAACAAGACAGAAACTATATAAAATAACATGCATTATATAAATAAAAAAAAGAAATAATAATATTATTAATAATAATAATAATATATATATAATAAAAGACATATATATATATATATATATATATACATATATATATATATAAAAACAGGAGGTTGGGGGTTGGGGAGGGTGTGTGTAGTACAGAGTTTCTCAATGCAGTATCTGCATGTGTGTGTTCACATCTCTAAGGCTGTCAAGTCAAATCTACATTTACATATTTTCTATTCTCCTCCCATATTTTTCGTTCGTTTCTGGCCACACCATACAAACATTTACATACACATATATTTTAGCATTGTCCAACAATATGATATTCCCACTCTACTGTGCTTTGTCCAGATGGGGTTCCGCCACAGTCCATAGGTCAACAGTGTGCCTGTTCTTTGCGTCCAACAACTGAGCAACTGCTCCATACAAATCAAATCCAAAACATCCCCGTACCAACTGTCTATGTCAAAGCACTTATATTTACGTTCCTTCCAGTTCATCATAATAATAAGTTCAGCTGATAAAAAACCCAGTGAAAATATGTGGTCCAATTTTTGGGATGACAAATCTTGAGTTCTTATTCCAAACGGGCACAGCAACGGGCATGGAGAAATCTGCACATCAAACATACAGATATATATATATATATATATATATATATATACATACATAAGACAGACGATCCATTACAATGCTCCAATATTGTTTCACTTCAGGGCAATGCCACAGCATGTGCATGAGTGTGCCCTCTGCCCCACAACCATGCCAACAAAGTTTAGATTATTTGGTATCCATTTTGTTTAGTATATGTGGTGTTATATAAACTCGATGTAATAATTTGAGCTGCAAAATTTGATATCTCACACATTTAGAAATTTTGGTAGAGTTCAGTTGTTCAGTTTGATTTTGAGTTACCCCAGTTGGGCCTGGCTTTTTTGTTAATAATTTGCCTAATTTGAGCATTTATTAAATTTAAACTTATTTTTATATCTTGTCTTTGCCTTTCTGTTTGGTCCACTACAATGACACAGAAAATGCATCAAAAGCTTTTTTTTTTTTACACTTAATCCATGTCCTGATACAGAGTTTGTTTCTTCAGAAGTGGCATGAAGCAAAATGAGTAGTTTTGTGTCTTAACAGTAGTAACTAGATGAGCTTGTCTAATTTCTCCAAGAAACTCATACTCCGAATTAATGGGCTCATATTACACTGTTTTATGATCTGTGCTACAATGTCATTTCCTCAAAATACAGAAAGTGCTCCACTGTGTTTTTAAACTCCACACACCTTCACTAGAATCATTTGGATAATTTCAGCCATGGAATTGTTTTTTTAAACTTATTCAGCACCATTTCTATTCAGTTAATGCTTAAGTTTTAGGGAAGTGCCTAAATCTGGTTGAAGCTGCACTGAAACTATTTTTTTTTTAAAGTACATTTAGGGTCCTAAAACATTAAAAAATCAGACGTAAAACCATCATAGACAGAGTTCCCACTCTTTTTCACCAACAAAATTTCATCTTTCCCATGAATTTTTCATGACCAAATGTGAATTTTCCATGACTTTACATGTGTAGAATTTGATCAGACTTTAAGAGCTAAATATGTTAACTCTTTCCATTCACCTTATGGTTTGGGATTATATTTTTTAACATTCAAAATCCTGTCAGTGCATTTATTGTCGTCTCTCTTTTTAACAAAAGGTACAGACGTTCAGAATAGCTTAATGAGAACTTAACAGAAAGCTGTAGTTGTGTGAAAGAGAGACTAAAATACATGCATCACAAATTTCAGACTTCCAGTCTTCACACAATGGATACTAGGAAGGATTTTCCGAAAAAAGTGAGCATCAAACCTTGTTTGTTTTCCCAGTGGGATGTGTCTATTGTCAAAGTCGATCTTTTCAAGTCTTTTGAACCATATCACTTTTGTTTCTGGTTCTGATATTGTCATATTTTAGTTTTGGGATTCGGACATCGTAATTGTGTGGTTGTTGGATCCTAACAGAGGAAAACAGCTCGAGAAATGGGCTTCAGAAGTTTGTGAACTCCATAAATGCAAAAGAGAATCAGATGTGTGTGTGACTGCAAACATCTGTTCAAACTGTTTCTCTTCCCAACGAAATTGAAAAATAGTGAAAGTTGAAGGTGATGGGCAGGATTGATCCACAGGAAGAACCAAAAAGGAAACATTTGACTGCCTAACAAATCATCCCGAGTTTGTAGCGAACATTTTGTATGTCGAGCGACATCAAAACAAAATCCCGTTTGTTAATGGAGAGGTGCAGAAGACAAACAGAGTGAGCTGCACTTTCTTGTTCTTGTGGTTTTACAGCAACATCACGTCTTGGTCTCTTTGCAGTGGAAGGTGTTTCTTGGCTGGAACCTTTCGCTTGTTAAATTCGTAACCGAGGTTGAGCGAGGGATTGGGATTTTGCTTTGTTGATGCTCCACATACAAAATGTTCGCTGCAAACTCAGGATGGGGCCGATGGTGCAGACTGGCAGCGACGCTTCTGTCAGTCTGTCCCCAGGGCAGCTGTGGCTACAATAGTAGCTTACCACCACTGGTTATGGACTGACTGAATAATGCTCTGGTAAAGCGTCTTTGTGACATATGTCTGTGAAAAGTACTATATAAATAAAAACTTATTTACTTACCGTATTTTCCGAGCTATTAGACGCGCTCTTAAGCCTCTAACCGCATCAAAAAATGACTGCGCGCCACAATCCAGAGCGCCCTGTACACGAATCCACTCGGGCGTCCCAGCACGACTTCAGTAAACTACAAAGCCGCACCACCCTCAGAACACGCAAACACACACAGAGCAGACAGCGACCGCACAGCGAAAAACACCCACAGACACACTCATCACTCCACGCCGACGAGGAACGGAACGGAGGAACGAACCGAAAAAGCGAGTGCAACGTGCCGCTTCTAGACACAACTGAACAACTGAGTCACTGCGAACACGCCGACAATCCAGCGATCCCAGACAGCACCCTCCCTACACGCCACAACTGAACAAAGCCCAGAGTCACCGTGAACGAACAAACAAACAAAACCACTCACCCATCACACTGTTGTGTTTCCTTTAAAATCCCATGCGGTTTATTTGTGAAAAAAGTTCCAAAATAGACCATTTATTGACAGTGCGCCTTATAATCCAGAGCGCTTAATAGTGTGGAAAATACGGTACTTGTATATAGCAAAAAATAATCAACAGTTTGTAACATGATACTGTGCAGCCGTCCTGTCTCGCCTCACTCCCGTTTGTGAATGGAGGGAGAGGTGCAACTTGTACAAAACGTTATAACGCACGCAATTGGCCGACTCAATCTCACGAGTGCTGCACAAGCGAGTGGTGCGTTCACTGACATGCAGTAGTAAGGATATTTATTATTGACCGCAGTTAGACGTATTTTAAACCTGGTGCACGAGTACAATAATAATAGTTTCCCTTAAATAATTTAATAGATATTTAAGAAAATACACAAAAAATAAGTCTACAAACAGAACAAACTGACCTGACCGACTCTTTAAATGAAGCCTGTGTTTTGTTCCAGGAGCTGATCGCCTTCGAAGTCAGTAATATCTTCGGAGCTTCGTTCAAATCTTTTGCGGCGAGTACGGCTCTGTCCAGGAGCGCCGTCCAGGAGAGCACCGGCGGGAAGACGCAGGTCGCAGGTTTACTGTCCGCCATTATCGTGATGGTGGTCACTGTGGCCATAGGGTTTCTACTGGAGCCTCTGCCAAAGGTAACACAACATCTGAGTTACAGAACTGGGGACATATACACACACACATCATGAACAGAACCATGTTTAATTATACATGCGGCAGCTCTACTTCACCGTACAGGCTTTTACTTTATGACCAAAACTACTTCAATGCAGCTTTAATTTGAAATATTATTTAATTAGTGGCGTGTTCTGATTAAAATAAAAAGGAAACTCCTCAAGGAAAAAACGACATTAACTGTGTGTTTCTGAACCAGCTCATTTTATTTGCAGCCTGTTAGTGTCACTCACTTGTGCACCAGCAGCAGAGGCTCTACTGCCCTCTGCTGGACATTTGAGTCTGTAACAATCAGGACCCAGTGACCCTTAGTTTATTCTTACATAATACAGGGACATTTAAAATGAAGATATTTACTGCCATGTTTTAGTATAAACATTACCTCTGTGTCCTGTGTTCCAGTCTGTGTTGGGGGCCGTGGTGATCGTGAATCTTAAAGGGATGCTGATGCAGGTCAGAGAGGTGCCGTATCTGTGGAGACGAGACAAACCAGACTGTGTAAGAAAATATATTTAAAATTCAGATTGCAAAAAAGAGGTGTTTATCTTCAATAAAGATGAATTGTTTTTATCAACTCAAAGTCAATTTTCAGTTTCACACTTTAGAGCATTTAGAGAAAAAGAAAGTTTTCATTATTTTAATGATTTGATTGTTTGTTTGTGTTCAGGTGGTGTGGGTCGGGACCTGTGTGGCGTCCATCTTGCTCGGTCTGGATCTGGGTTTAGGGGTTGGTCTGGGTATAGAACTCATCAGTGTGGTTCTCCGAACGCAGTTGTCAGTCTCTTTTATAATTATCATGTTATTATATTAAATCATCTTTATAAACCTGTTTTTAACCTGTGCCTGTGTCCTCAGCCCTCGCTGCTCTGTGCTCGCCAACATTAAAGGCACCGACATCTACAAAGACAAGGACTACCTCGATGTGAGTGTTGTGCTTTAAAGCTGCACTATGTCACTTTTAAAGTATAAACCTATGTTCATAAATATACAAGCTGTACGTACTTGTATCAACACTTGCTCAGGCTTCAGTCTGGTGAAGTGACAGAAAAGCTCAACTCTGATCACACCTCAATCTGCTGGACTAAACTGTCCACTGTGGAAACATATAAGACATACAGTGTTCAACATAAATGAGTACAAGCTCTTTGAAAAGTCACATTTTATGTCAATGAACACAAAAATATTTGCAAAATGTGCATAGGCAGAGTCACAGATCATCACAGCGTCAGTGTTTCAGCAGAAGCCACTAATTAATATGATACATTAATAAATAGTTAAATAATAAGAATTATCTTTATTACCATTATAATCATAAGTGATTAGTTATTAAGGCATAATGAAATCATATTTATAAGAAAAGGTCTCTGGCTCAAAATTTGATCTCAGGCTAGAGGAAGAAAACAAACCTTAAACAATTTAAAACCGTGTCATTCATTCATTCATTATTCAATATAACACCAAAAATAAGAAAACGAAAAAACAACAGTTTTCCTCATTATTTGTCTCCAAAACCAAAATGAAAAAAATTATATCGATTAGTTATTTCATTTTTCGATTTTGTGTTTAAATCAATAATGGAAAAACAGGTAACAGCCGTTTCCCGAACTGAACCAGGACTGAACCAGGACTAAAACAGATCTGGTCCCGGTCTGAGTCCTGATCTTGTCCCGGTCTCAGTTCTGGTCTGGTCCCGCAGTTTCGTTGCAGAGTCATTGAGCTGCTGCATGAACCGTGTAAACGCGTTATTAGCATTTACAAATGATCAGCGCGTCCATAAACTCCTTGTTTACCTTTCGCCTACAGCTCGTGGGACACTGTATGATCTTTGTGGACGATGGGAAGAGGATAAAGAGGATAATCTGCCCTGTAACAACAGAAAAGCAGTTACACCGCGTTAGTTTCACCTGTTGAACTTTCACCTCCGCAGCTGCACCGGGAGCTTCCCCCTCACTGTGGCCGCCCTGTGCGCGCCTGGAGCGGGGAGCTGAACTGTAGCCGCGCCGCTCGGAGCGCTGCGTCATTAATCACTGCTTTAATCACTGTTTTAATGAGTGGCGTTTGTGTAAGAATTTAATCTCTTGAAAAAGTCCAATGTTTACACTTTTCCTTGTCATTCTGTTGGACCATGAACCCTAAGTACATCAGACAGACAGAGAAAAGGTGAGCTCCGGTGGCCTAAATACTCACTTTTTTACACATTAAACATTAGACGTTTTCTGAAAACTTTAGGACGTAATTTCTCTCTTAATTTTGGCTCATACGTTAAGCTGTTTTAAGAAAATTGCCATCTTAAGCTAACAGTAACACCATTTTTTTTTTTTTTTTTTATGATTTGGTTTTAAGTTAGTTCTTTTGTAATTATAGCAGTAGCTAAACCAAGCGATAAGAGAGGCTAAGGACGAAAAAATAAATAAATAAAATAACATTTAAAAAAAGGGCTAAGGACGAGCTAAAAAAAAAAAAAAAAAAAAAAAAAAAAAAAGGCTAAGGACGACAAGTTACTGACACTTTCACATAAAACATATAACAAAAAGGTTAAGTTCTAAAAATGTATAAATTAAGTCTTAATGACAAAACAAAACAAAAATAAATAAATAAATAAAACATGTTAAATACCGTTAAAAGCCGTTTCTCTCGGGGCAGGTGGTACGTGACTGGAAGGAGGTGGATAATGGCCGCCAAGCCACGCCCCCTTTCCCCCGAACCGATCTATAATAAAAAACAAACCCAACTTAAAATAACCACTGTTGGGCAAGTTACTTTGAAACTGTAATGCGTTATTTATTACCTATTACTGTCATTTCAAAGTAATTCGTTACATTACAATATTACTGCATTTTAAATGTAAGGCATTATATTACTATTGCATTACTTTAAGTTACTCTCACCAAAATAACTTTTGCGCTGTATATGGACTGAACCAGGACTAAACCAGAACTGAACTAAGACTAAAACAGGACTCACTGTAGGGACGGGCTTGAAGGTGACCGCAGGAGAAAGGAGCGGCTCTGCTCCTCACCTCACGGAGGTAAGAGCGGCTGTCGCCCAATCGCTCTTTATGGACCCTGCTGCTCAGGCTCACGGTCCTGATTTCAGCAACTATTTGCAGGGACCCGAGCCGGTGCAAGAGTCTGTTACAGCGCGTAACTTCTACCTTCCTTCAGCGTGTCCAGAAGTCCAACTTTTTGTGTGATGGTTTGCATCTTCCTCTGCCTTTTGAGTGCGAGCGCAGGAGCCTTTGTCGGTGCAGAACGTTTCGTCAACGTTGTGGATTTTGTCGGAGAGAAAACTTGCAACCGTACAGCACTTCAGAATCACACTGCTAGAGATTGAACATGCATTTAAATTTGGCAGCTGAACACATTCTGTACTGTACAGGAGACAGGAGTCCCTCAGCCAATCAGGACGCAGCGGGAGGAACGCAATACGCATTCATACAATGTAAAAAAAAAAAAGGGCATGCAAAATTGCACAAAAAAAATAAAATAAAAATCTGCGAAACAGTGAGACCGCGAAAAGTGAACTGCGATAGAGCGAGGGACGAGTGTAGCACATTGCACTCGCTTTTTCCGTTCGTTCCTGAGTGTGTCTGTGGGTGTGTTTCGCTGTGCAGTCTCTGTCTGCTCCGTGTGTGTTTGTGTGTTCTGTGGGTGGTGCGGCTTTGTAGTTTACTGAAGTCGTGCTGGGACACCCGAGTGGATTCATGTATAGGGCGCTCTGGATTGTGGGGCGCTGTAAGAATTATTATTTGTTTTATGCATTTTATTATTACCAAGTTAAATGTCGATACATGTTGTTCGCCTGTTGGTTTAGATAAGGGCCCATGTTTAGACTGTGAAAAGATAGCTAGGCAGCAGGTGTGAGCCTGACCTACAGAATGTGTACATTATGTATCGCTATATGGCTTGGGTCAACATTGCTGTGTGTTTCTGCCTAATGCGTTAAGTAGACAAGTTAATAGTTGACAAGACCGTCAGGTATAAACCTGCTACTCTGCTATACTAAGTCAGACGTCGGACGTCAGATGTCAGGAGTCAGACGTTGTCTATGTTTGGACAACTTCCGTAAACACAGAGTACGCTCGCTGTGGTTGATGTCGTCGTGTTTCCAGTGTCACATGTGGGACACTTTTGGGCCGTTTAATGTTCACACTGGAGATCACATACAAGTCACATTTAATTGGAAATGTGAACGACCTCGCAAAAACAAAAAAATCCGACTTGAGCGTTAAGCCCTGCAGTCTGAACGTAGCCATAGACTCACCTCGAAACACAAACTACAGAGCAAGAACTTGTCCAAGCCTGGAGGTAGCAGCTGAAGTGTGTGTTTTCTTCCGGTCGACGTAAATACGTTCGTGTCTCTGTCCAATCAGAACCTTCCCCACCCCCAGACGCTGATTTAAATAAAGCTGATTTAACTTGTTTTTCATGTAAACCTTAATTCTGAATTATTATTTCCATGTAAACTTGAAGGAGAATAATGTAATTCTGATTTAATGAATTTGGAATAAGTAAATCGGAATTAAAAATCATCATGTAAACGTGGCCACTGTAGATCAAACAATACCGTCACATTGTAGTGCAGAATAAAGTGTTCACTAAAGGAGCCTTATGCATTAAAGTCTGTGTTTTTCTAAAGTTTCTCCGCTCTCCTCTCCACAGAAGGGTTACCTGAACATGTCTCCTGAGCCGTACACAGAGGTGGACGGCGAGGACAGTGTGGAGGAGCTGGACCTGCCCACAGACCTGAAGGACCTGCCCATTCAGGTGGACTGGAGAGGGGAGCTGCCCGTCAACGTGAACGTGCCCCCGGTGGATCTGCACAGCCTGGTCCTGGACTTTGCCACTGTGTCCTTCCTCGACGTCTCCGCTCTGAAGGGACTCAAAACGGTGCGTGGGTCAATATTATTACTTTTACTTGGTTGTTAAAGCTGATCTATGACGCAAAATGGACTTTTCAGAGCTTTTAACTATGTTATTGTTGTTTCCTTCTTTTGAATTTCAATTAAGAACAAAAAACAATAAAATCGGAAAACAGTTTGTTGTTTCATTGTTCCATTTTAGTGTCAAACAAGATTTCTCTATTTCCAGTATTTCATTAAAAATTTATTTCAACTAACACCAGTCGGAAAACTGTCGCTCTGGTTTATTTGCTCTGGAAGTTCTGCTACCAGGACGACTTACTGTATTTTTTGGACAATAAGTCGCACAGGAATATAAGTCGCACTTTTAAGGGGAAATGTATTTTATAAAATCAGAGACCAGGAACTGACATTTCCTGTGTAAAGTCAAGTTGTAGTAAAAACAATAGAAGAGAGAACAACAGACTGTTAACGTCACATATGAACAGTTCTTCAGATAAACTATAACATAAACAATAGAACAGAACAAGTTTAACAAACTCTCCATCTCACTCCAAATCACTAAATCCATTCAATTCTTCATCCTCGGTGTCACTTCTGAACAACTCGACCTCGACCTCCGGAGGTAAACAGAGCGTCACTTCCTCTTCTGTGTCGCTGTCGTCAGACTCAGCATCAGTTCCAGTTAGAATTATTCGTTTTTTTCTGAATCTCGACAGGATGGTTTCGGTGTCACTGAAGTCCAGGCTTCGTCCATCCATCCAGTGACTTCAGGAAAGTTTCATGGTGCATCCTCCTGTTTGCCGTCTTCTCTATCCCCGCTTTCCACCTGTGCCTCATAAGTTTCTCTCTCACTCCAAACTTTCTTTCTGCTGCTCGATTATCGTTTTCAGCTGCAGATTTCACGACTTGCAGTTTGTAATCTGCAAAATCTGATTTACTTTTTAGGGGCATTTGTGTTCAGTCTTCTCAGTCGTCTTTATAAGTTTGTTTAAATGTTACAATTGTTCAGTGGTGCAGAAGTAATGGTGCGATCGACTGACATGATACAGACAGGACAGAGGCTCTTTCTGCTGGAGACATGCGCAGTAGAGCCAAGTGACAGTGGTACAGGAGGAACAGGAGCAGCAGATACTCACACACAAGACTAGAACCTCTCCACACTTCACTGAAACATTTTAATATATAAGTCACAGGAAACACCCAAACCATGAAAAAAAAGTGCGACTTAGTCTGAAAAATACGTTAACAGCCACTCTTCCAGCTGTTTGCCCCAGGGCAGCTGTGGCTACATCATGACACGTTTAATGTTTAATGTTTCACAGACAAACAGTAGTAAAAAACTCTCTCTTTGTCTTCACAGGGAATGGAGCCTGAAACTCGCTTCTGAACAAACTACTACAAAACTGTACATATATTTTTATTATTATTATTGACTTGTTATAACGTCCGTAGAGTTTCATGGAGAATGTAAGAAGATTTTTTTAGATATGTTTTTATAGAGATTTTGTAGAAGAATCATGTGCAATATATTAAATTTAGTTCATTTTATGAGACTGAAAATAAATAAAACTTTTGTCATGTTGTAAAAGTTTCTCTTTACTCTCACGTGGTATTTGTGGAATAGAAGTATAAATAAAAATTTAGGCTGTTGATATGGAGATTTAACGTTCTGGCTTCACGTGTTTTGAACACTGACAGTGTAAAACCAACACATGCATGAAAAGGACAGAATGTTGTCGATAAAAGCATAATAAAAGGTTATGATGATATTTTTACTAACATCAAAAGACCAGGACCGATGGAAGTCATTTTTAACATGTGCTGTTGTGAAAAAATTTGTTTTTTTTAAACCTTAGCCTATAGGCCTATTTAAAATCTGTTTTAAATATAAATAAATAGATTGAAATTCAACATTTTATTGACATATACACTTTAATGTAGTCTAATTAATAATGTAAAACAATATAAGAACGCAGTGTCTGACAATTAAAAAATTTAAAAAGAAAAAAATCTCCCCCTCGCCACTAGGGGGTGTTACAACACCCCCAGCAACCCCGCGGACACGGGCTGGTTTGGTGATCTTCTGGGCAAAATACACAACACAGCGGTTCACTCCACCAATGATGTTTATGTCGAGGGCGGGATTCGAACCATCAACCTTCGGATCAGTGGACAAACACTCCTGAGCTACTGCCGCCCTGATAACATATAACATATATACTATAACATACGTACTATAATATATATACTATAATATATATACTATATATATATATATATATACTACAACAAATGTAATATAACATAGATCAGGGGGGTCAAACTCAAATTCACAGAGGGACAAAGTCGTGGGCCAAACTAAATATTTATTGAAAAATGAAAACATCTGCATGTTTTCTCTTCTTTCGAGATCTGTAATGTTAAACCTTTTCTTATTAAATAAATGTTTAATAATAGTTTTGCATAAACAGTGAATCCAGAACAAGTTGAATATAAAATAACACCATTTTAAATAAATAATGTCTCTATAGTCGATCTGTAGCAGCTCTGATACAGATTTGATATGAACTCACGGGCCAAATATAATTATGTCATGGATCAAATTTGGCCCCCAGGCCTGGTACATGTGACCTGAGTTCAAACACGTCCCTGCTGCCTAGTCGGCTTCTCAAAGTCAAACATTAACCTCTCTTATGTGAGCAAAGGTGAATGATCGGACTTTGACAACACGTTTTTCAACACGTCAAGGGACACTGAGTGAACAACGTCTGTATTTGCATGGTGAATTAACATGGTTAAAATCAAACGGTAACAACAAAGAGAAGAATTCTTCCAAAGGACTTCAAGAACTTTCTACCTCTACTTTTGTAAGTATATCCAGGGTCGGACTGGGAACAAAATTTGGCCCTGGTATTTTACCTCAATTTCAACTGTGGGACGTTTTTGTGGGGGAAAAGTTCAGGGCGATTTCATTTGGCCACAAAAACATCATCTCACGTTCAGGGCTGTGGATAATTATTAGTTTTGTGATGCTGTAGGTCTTTACCATCTTTACATCTTATTCATGGACATGCTTTGTATGGTACAGTGTTTTTTTTTTACTTGTAATAATTTGTACCGTCCTGCTGCATTTAGATTTTTTCAAATCTTTTAAAAAGGGTAGAAGTGATTGATTCATGACCCTCATGCTGTTGTAAGTGTTGTTAAGCAGGACCAGTATGGCAAGCCAAACTGTTCACATTTACACCCATTTTTAACACGTTAACACCTTTTTTGATGTGTATTATAAGATTATTTAATTTGTCGTGATAAGTTGTTATTTGACGTGTCAAATGATTCTACATATGATAATGATCTCCTCCCACTGATTTTCCCAGTCAGTGAAAAGAGTCCAGAATAATCCAACACCGATCTCCCTCTGCACATTCTTTACTCTAATGTCCCTTTTACTGGAGCTGCTCCACCTGCAGACCACAGCCAAGTACAGGAGCCTCCACAGACTGGGACAAGATCAAACTACAAGTTGTAGAAGATACAACCTGCACTCCTGATTTTACAAACGCTCCTTTAGTTATGATTGTTTCAGTGGTGCATGGAAAGGACCAGATCTGCTCTGTCTCACTGCACTGGAGTCTGTAGAGGTTTTCATTGTCCCACTACAGCATCAGGCTGATCTGTGATGGTCTATCCACAACCCCAGAGACTCCAGCAGTGAACATGTGATAGAGTCATGTGGCCTGTGAGGAAAATCTGTGAAAAAATGCTGATTTGCTCAATTGTGACATTCTTTAAACATAAACAGGTTTATTAAAATCTAACAGCTCAACATGTAAAAGAATCACTCTCCATTCCTCATCTTATTGTGCCATGTAGGGGGCAAAAAACACAATAGCATAAAATGAAGCAGCCGCAGGCTGAGTTCATGTGTTTATATTCTCTTTTGACATTTGTATACGGACAGTTAAATAATCAGTTGTTTAATGATCGAATGATACTGAAAATATAAATACGTTGAGGTGGATGAGACTGTTTTAAATTTGATAAACGACAATTGACACAGTGTAAGGTTTATTTTGTAAGAGAACAGAATGTGCACATGGACATCAGTGTTGTTGTTCTGGACTCTTTGTCTTTGTCAGTGATTGGCTGAAAACACTTTAAATTCACTGACTGAGAAAATCAATGGGAGGATCATTATCATATCTATAACTATTATTCTTATTTGTTGCGTGAAATAACATTTCGACACGTCAAACAAGTTGTTAACGTGTTAAAAATAGGTGTAAATGTGAACAGTTTGGCTTGTCATAGACCAGTGTCGTGCACAGACAGACACCAGGTGCTGCTAAATCACCTGCCCCTTTGCCCTCTGTACAAAAAGTGTCCTTTTGAAAGTTTTTTTATTATTTTTTTTTCACAGTGTACTGTGGTCCATGTTGACATCATCATCTAGAAATGCTGGATGATTAAAAGTGTGTGATCATAAAGCCCCGATGCTGCTCCCCCTCCCCACACACAAAAACTATGTCAATCATTTGTGCTTCATTTGTGCTGCAAAAAGTTTTGTTTGTGCTGCCTTTAGTTTTGGAGATATTAGTATCTACACCAGGACCAGACCAAGACTAGACCAGGACCAGACCAAGACTAGACCAGGACTAGACCAGGATTAGACCAGGACTGGACCAGGACTGATCCAGTGTCATTAGTTTAGTATAAATATAAAAACGCCGCAGTCGCCAAGTTGATCTCCTCTGCTGATGGTTTTATGTGATAAAAACACTAAAGTTTCTCTCAGTCTGGTCCATCGTTAAGGGAAAAGACCAGGACCGGACACTTGTATCCGGGGCAACAGATGCGCGTCAAGTATTTTTCTCCCGTTCGTCCACGGCGTCCAAGACACCAGGGCTTCTGAACTCCACTGCAAAGGCGTCCAAATAGAGGCGTCTAGGGCGTTTTTTTTTACACTATTACACACTATAATAAGGCAGCCGATAGTTCCACATGGTCACAAAGTGTCCTTATTTTTCACTGAGCACCTGCCCCCCGAAATGTCTGTGCACCTCACTGAGCAGGACACAAGTTAGAACACATCTGTGGTCACCTCTGTGTCTCATCACCTCAGGAAGCCTGAATGAACTCTGTGTGACTGTTCTGTTCATCGTTATTATGTTAATGTTACTCCACTGTAGTGTGCGATAGTCTTTCCATTTCTCACTCATCTTAAATGATTCATGCAACTTAACGTAACTTACTTGT